TTTTCCTGAAATATACAATTTATAAAATTTAAATAAAATGTACGGACTACTTTTTGTTTTACCTGCTGCAGTTAAATGGAATATAAGAGTATTTTATTTATGAAATTAATATAATATCCTGATTTTGTTAAAATGTACTCTTACAAATGTAATAGATATGTATGTAAAGTTTTACATACACAAAAACATTTTACTTGTTCCTTATTCACAGGAAGCTAACTTATTAATATTTCTTTACAATGTACATTAACTTTCATTTTATCTACTTTAATTCACATTTATTAACATTAAATTCTTTGGACTTGTACATGAAATTTACAGCTAGGTAATGTGGAAATTTCTGCATTAACAGTACTAATGATTCCAAGATTTGCTAAACTTCCTCTTAAAAGTCCACAAGTAAATGCTAATAAACGTGGACTTTCTTGAAGGTATTGCTTGTTGCTATTAGTACCTACTTTATTCAACAGACGAAATGAATTATCCTGTAATACATACACACCATGATGATTTGTTCTTAAATTATCAATTTGTTTATGATAAAGACTGGACCAAAAATCAGTACAGATAAATTTTATCATATCCAATTCATCTTTAAATCGATTCCATTCTCGCGTCAATCGTTCAATGATTCTGTAGCCAACACTGAATCCCATCCATTCTAGTCCAGACAGTTCTTCTTCCCCTTCCTTTATATTTCAATTATAAATAATTATGTTATGGTAAAAGGTAGGTAAAATTGAATTACTTTACTAAATTTACACCAAAAATATTAATAGATGTTTTTAAATAATAAATAATGTGATAGACAAACATTTAGATGTTTATTTATATGATAATAACTATTATGGGATTGCTAAATTATGTGCATTGTATTTATATATAATACCTTATTTTTACATGATTTGCTCAGAGCATAATTAACTATCTCTGCATGTAAATATTCGAAAAGACATTCATCAGCCTCTCCGGAAGTATGAGAACTGACTTTTGTATCAATTAATTGTTGTCGCATTTTGGTTATTTGAAAAATCACAAGATAGTATTAATTACACAATCTATAACACGTAAATAACACATCTGATGATATATTATATCCATAAAAAAGAAAAGGATGCGATATTAATCTATTTAATATTAGACAATATGAAACTAGTACCTAACCTCACTTATTATAGTTCTACCGTAATATCGAATGTATGTAATACACAGTACAAAAAGTAACTTTTCAATAAATTGGATAATCTCGTCGTTTACATATAAATACGTATTATTATTTTTCCACAACAAAATTCAGAAGTATATATAAACTTATGAGACCTGACCTATACCACAGACGAGGTACAGGATAGACCTAACATCTAATGTAATTTTGTGTCACGTCACGAGGGCTGAAAGTGCCCTTGTCATTTTCGTGTCGCTTTTAACGTTATCGATTCAGCATAGAATAAGATTACAACATTAGTAGTGATTGCAATTAGAATTAAACGTAACTACGAAATTACAAATAAAAAAGTAACGCAATTTTTCCTGTACCTCGTCTATGATTTGACGAACCAGATAAATTATCATTTTCTTCCCTACCTATGTCAAATTTAAAATGCTTATGATTTTATATGAAATAACACACGACGTCATTTATCACTTCGAGATATTTCCTTGTTAGATAACCAGAAGTTCGACTCGATTTTTTAACAGTTTAACGTTTAGTACGCCAATAATTGTGTTGAATTTGAAAAAAAACGTATGACAGTCGCAAAAAGTGTCTAATTTGACATGGAATGTTTCGTATCCAGGATTCCTGAAAAGAGAACCGCCAACCGAATCCTTCCGAGCGTTACCGAACGCTCCCGAGCACCATTCTTAAACGCAGCGAAAATCATGTACAAAACGAACGTTTATGTTGAAAACAATTGCTTTTGTAAGTTGAAAGTGAATACAAGTGATATCGAGAAGTGTATGTCGTTGATTAATTTTTTTCGTCTTCTATGTTGATTGAATTGTCGAGTTCTTAACAGTAAAGATTGGTATATTACAAAACGCCTGAACGTCCGAAATACTGAACATCTTTTCGAAATTTGCACTCCTAAACACTTTGAACAAGGTGTTTCGTGTCACAATAGAAACCTTTTAAAGGATAAAAGTGACTACTGCGCAATTGAAATAGTTGCTCTCGAGAGTACTCTCAAATTATGTGTTCAGTTCTCTGCTAGCACTCTCAATACCATAGACACTAATAAATTTGACTCTCGAGAGCAACTCGCGATAGTTTTACTCTCAAATGGACACGTATCCTAATATTGATTAAATCAGCAAATTAAAAAGTGGGCATTAATTGTGTTGGAGATTATTGGGTTTCTGAGCAACTAAAATGTGTTGAAGGAGTTTTGGTGTATCTGTACGATTAATTTATTTCGAAACCCTCTGGATTTTTAAATTTGGCCGCCAAAAAAGAAAAGCATTATAACGGTGTATGTGACTTAGAAATTATGACGTATCGGGTATATTATCAAGGAAAGTGAAATAGGATTAAAGTATAATTATCGCTAGAATATTATATGATATTTGGAAATTTTCAAATAAGTGGGCTGGTAGTGGGGTTACCCCCACTCCTATTTTTAGTTTCCTAGCAACGACAGTTGTGGATTCCTCAGTTGCTTCGGGATGTCGTAGATGATAGACGTACGTACTACGTACATGATAAAAAGGTATTATAAATTTAATTTATCAATCTTTAAGTGTTTCTAATCGTTTCTTTTAGCTTATACTTGTTTAATTTCCCTTCAATTAAACATTTGTTTATTCTGTTACAGGTTTGTGCTAAATGTTCGAAAAGAATGAGCATTAAAGCGACGCCGTATCGACATCTCGTATTCGAAATCGACTGAAAAAGCGGGAAGCTGTTCCAGCAGTTGTAAGTGGACACATAATCTTTTAATTTATTTCTATCACTTTGCTGCTGAACGGATCGGACATAAATTGTTATATAAAATCGAAGAATATTTCAATGGATTTATCGTGTGTACCTTCAACGTGAAGAACATACGCGACCGAAACTTGTGTTTACAAAAACTCGTAAATACAGCGTCCGTATCGGTCGTTGGCTGAGTTAGCGGTCAAGAGCACAGCTGCGTCGAGGCATAGTTTTTCAATGTTAAATTCTCAGAATTGTTATTACCCTGAAATTTCCAAACACGCAAACTGCGACGCGTGCTCTGCCCCCACCACTGGGTGTAATACGATCTCTCGTAAGGACGTGTCTCGACAGGAAATCATTCAGTTTATACCAAGCTTTGAGTTGACAAGACGTGTTATTCACATTCGCGTATCCTAGCATTTCTGGTAGTTATCCTACGATCACTACACTCTCTTATTACCTTCGTTTAATGAATTAATACACTTTGATTTAATACTTTATCGAATTATTGCAACTTAATGAATTAATACACTTTGATTTAAACCTTTGATACTTTATCGAATTATTGCAACAATAGATAGGAACTTTTTTTTAATTTTTCTGTTCAGTTAGCTTTAAGTAATATCGTAAACTTTCACAATAGAGTTCCAATTAAACTATTATTTAATTACAACATAATTTTATTTCTCTTCAATATACATGTTATAAATTAATATTTTTCTTCTGTTAAGATATCTGGTTGATGAAGAAAGAAGAGTGAGGGGGAGACTGGTTTGATGGTAACGTTTACGAGTAATGGGTAATATTAAATTTATTATTTCAATACTGGTCGTATGTATACGTTTCTTCTTTCTCATATTATTGTGATTTTATGGGCCTATATAACAATGCATAGTAATACATGGTACATATTTGTTGCATATTTATTATTAATTTTATGTGTGTATATAACAATCTATAGCAATCATGGTGCACATTTATTGCATAATTACAGACAGGTATACCTATATAAATATTTTCATTAATTTAGCAATATACTAAGATGCAGGAAGAACAGATTAAGCTTCTTTCTTTCGAACGTAATTATTTTCTATATAATCGGAAAAAGAATTCGTGGTTTGATCATTTCAATCTGTGCTCAAATATGGAATTTTTAACAATATAAAGTCGTTTGATTTTATTGAAATAATTTGCACCTTTGCTGCATTTCGATCGCGATTTTTTTATCTTGTAGAGTCATTAACATTACTTTTCCATCATTTTTACTATCTCTATATAGAGAACAACTTCTGATACGTACTAATTTCGACGCAAGTTTAAATATTCGCTAAAATAATCGTTTACGGCTTGAATTAATTAGGCATGGGATTCTAATTTGCGCAAAGATTTTCGAATATTTATAAATCGCGAAATGTTACGCGACTCGATTCAGATAACATAATAATAATAATTAATAACTCTAATAACAAACGTCTTTATTTTTTTTCTGACTCTTCACAAATCAATTTCACTGTGTCGCAGTATTTTTACTGCTAACGTTGATTACTAACGTTGATATTTATATAAAACTTGAGTTAATGCAAAATGAACAATTACGAACAATGTTTTTACATTTCTCCAAGGATACAGTATTTTCTTGACGAACACTCGGTACGAAATAAAAGAGAAAAATGAATTGACCACCCTCTACGCCCCGTCTACTAACAAACAGTTTTCCTTCCAGAAATTTGACCGCGCGCAATGCGGTCGGTAGAGTCAGTGTTTTTGCGTACAAATTGGTTTTTTGTTTTTCTGAGCAACACAGCTCTTCATATAAATATATTCACTAAATTCACAGTAAATCACGCGAAGGTAGAGTCAGTGTTTTTGTTCGCCGGATATAATATATACGGTCGCGTTATTAGCTTTTTTTTAATATTTTCATTGTTGCTGAAATTCGTTTCCGGTATTAGAATCAGTGCACCACTTGAAGAAACCATTGGGCGCAGCTCTCGGGGTCAAAAGTAAGTATCTATCAAACTAAAAGTTTAATAGTCCAAATCTGTTTCATTTAAAGAGTTCTTGAAATGCCTGTGTATCTCTATTTGAATCAAAATTACGAGAATTTCGAAGTTCACTGTAGAAAATAAGATCAAAAATTTTGAAATAATCATCTCGTTTTCAAGAACAAACGATAATATTCTTTGCTTCTACAGATTGTTACAGCTTACCTCTACTGTGGTCCCTATGGTGTCCTCCTGATGACTTCCACGACAACTTCCGGTGTGCAGTGGCGTCCTAGATGACTTCCTCTGAGCAGTGGCGTCCTAGATGACTTCCTCTGGGGGTAGCAGTTTGCTGTGGCAGCCTAGACGACAGCTTTAACTCAACGAACTGTGAGTCGCATGTGTTGAAGTTCCTCTGGTCGCTCAATCATGTCGCAGGACGATTGGTCCGAATCGACACGGGTGACTAGTTGTAATTACGTAGTATCTTTTGACGAGCACAGTGACCGTGGGTGTGAGTATAATAACTCACTCTCGTGAGTAGTAACATTTTGTGTGATTTATTAGATCAGGTTAGGTTTTCTTGCACCGCGTCGTTTTTTTCTATTCTGGTTAATGTTGATAATACGATATTAATTATAGTAAAATTTAGTAAATACAATTAAAAATATATCGACTTGGATACTGGTCAAATAAGAATATTTTCAATTTAGATATTTGTGGAATATCCACGTGAATAATTGTTCCACGAGAAATCGTAGAATTTTCATATTAAATTTAGTACGGAAGTCGAATGTCCTTCGACTTCGTCTGTTTGAAAACAGTTATCGCACAGTGATGACGATTATGTATAGGTTGTTGTTAACATTACCAGAATAGAGACTTGTTCTATTTATTTTATCGATTAAATGCGTATTGCAAGAGTTGAATAATATTCATAGAATGAATAATAATAATAATAATATCAAATGATTCATTTGGTTGCTTTGTGTATTCAGTGTAATTTTCAATCTAACTCGGGATATAAGAGTACAATTGCAAAGTAGTTATTCACGAAAGAAAGAAATACTATATTAAACTGAAAAATTAGTGCAAGAAGACACTTCGCGAATGTAACGGACCAGATTTCGAAGTCAAAGTATAACAGCCTTGAACTCTAATTTTCGCAAAATTTACTTTGACGACGGGATCGTCCCAGGATGATTTAATAACAAGGTGTTTAATTTTCAGAGCCTATCATCAAGAAGAAATAAAAATTTTACCTTCCCTGTGTGATACCTTTTATTACCATTAGTATTAATTATTAGACCGTTATACAAAGTACATGAAAAATCAGATAATAACATATTTTTAGTCGAGGATTTTCAGGTTTAACCCTCCGTATTCATTGTCA